TCGGTAGTACCTTTTGGGCTGGCATTTGGCACAATTTGCCAGCTTGAGCTCATATTGTCGTTTGAGCCCCCGCTTAACTGCCACTACTTTGTTTCTATCCCTGGTGTACTGTGCCCAAGATCTGGGGCTGCCCGTTGACCTGTAGGTGTGCCAGCTCCTATTTCTACGCTGTATCGCCCTCTTGATCGCCGGGCTCCACCTAGGTGGTTTGTTCTTCGCTGCCCTGGGTTTAGGGGAGCCTCAGATGGTCCTCGACCTCATGTTGGAGTATTTCAAACTCTGCCATACCTGGGATGGGCTTCAGAGTAGGGTGCCCCATCATCCCTTACGTGAACTGCTTCGAAGAAGCGTCTGAAGGTTTCGGCTTTCTCCGAGCTGGTTAGTATTGGTTGGCCGTTCGCGCCCTTGAGGGTGCCTATCGCCGTACGCAACTTTGATTTGCCTTGTACGTAATTAAAGAACACCCTGGAGCATTCCTTAATCCGCCGCCCCAGCCTCGTTTCGTAGGCCCTAAGACAGGTCATCTGGGCACTGATCACCCTATTTCTCTCCGGGACGTACTGGAAATACCTATGATGGCTACGGGTCCTGAGGTACTGCCTCCAAGCTTTACGCTTTCGGGCTTGTGCCTTTGCTACCCTGCTCAACCACCAGGGAAGTTTGCCGTTTCTGCGAATCCTCCTTAACGGAGCAAACTCAGAAGTGAGCACTGAGAGGTTTGACTTGATGACGCTCCACAGCCCTTCTAGTGTGTCGGGCTGAGCCCCCCAGTGTAACTCAGTGACTCTTGCAACGAGGGAGTTGCTGTTTATCCTGTTGAAGGCTCTCCTCCATTTTAAGAAAGGGTAAGGACCATTTCCCGGAGGTAAAAACGTAGGATTACGTGGTCACTCCGGCATAGGGGTGGGGAGGTTTCTAGACCGGCCAAACGAAAATAAACGCTACAGAACTTCATCCATATGCCAGATATCTCAAAAACACTCAAGAATTAGGCAAATACACAATCCAAGGAGCTTCCTACGCCCGCGTATTGGACATTGGATGTCCTGGAATTTAAATGAACGTTTGTTTTGTAATGTGTTTTCGGCATTGAGCGTGGGTCAGTGTTCGAATAACGTATGCGATTTCGTGGTATTCGCACTGCAATAACGATAAATAACAAACAATATTATTATTGTTTGTTGTTGTTTGGCAATTGCCAAATTATAGAACATTCGTCAGCATATTATATTCTGACGCTTGAACCAATTTTATTTGCTCCACTGCAAAAATTGAGAAAATTGCTTGGAAACAAAAACCTGTAACTCCGGATTGAAAAGAAATAAAATTTCTCTTTTCGATGCCCTCGATACGAGTTTTCAAAGAATTTTCAATCAGTTCCAATGTATCACTCATGAAATGTGGACGAAAATCGCTTTTAAAAGTTAATCTTGATGAAACACTGTAGGCATGCAGTTATTTCTCTTTCATTTGCATATTACACCTTGTTTAATAATGAAGAAAGAAGATTGCAAACCTTCAATTAGAGAACGCGGTTTTCGAAAGCTACATGGATTCTCTACCACCTCTGAAAGCCAAACGGAGGTCAAGTACATGAAATATACTAAAAGTCTTATATCCAGGCCTGATAGATTCGGATGAATCGGACGAGGACGATCTCAGGTCTCGTCGAGCTGCTCAGTTAAGCATACATCCAGGTCAACGCTATCGGCAACTTGAAACAAGCGTAAAGTGTGAAATAATTCACCAGGAGTTCTGGAAATGTCAACAACATGCAAAAGAAATTAAAATGCAACTTTCAATGATGGTTACTCAGCATGAGGTTTGTGGCTGTGGCATTTGTCTGTGCCCACCGATAAATGCATCTGATCACTCATTCACTTTTACTTCAGATAAGACTTCTGGAATACGAGATGCAGCTAAAAGATATTAGTAAGGCAGAGACGGATCTTAGAAGATTTGTTGAGACGAAAGGTTACAATCCCAGAATGAAGTGCATTGCAGCTGAGAAATTCCAGAAATTTATGAAAGATTATAGTAGAAAAAGGGTACGTTTATCAGTTTGCCTAAATGTTATGCCTGGTTTCCTTCCGATTTAAACCACTAGTTTTTTTTCAGGATTTTTTTACACTTGTATTATACATGTGTGTACATGAATTACCCTACGTTAGAATTTTTTAGTGCTTTTAATGGGAAAATAAAGTAGTTGAACCACGATCTTGTGTGTGGGTTTCAAAACGCTGACCAGGAGACTTGCTCAAATAGGTTGCGTTGGGCTTCATGAACGAGATCCCAATTTGGTTTATTTGCGATCACCACACCTGCCGAAGGTTTAATAAAAACACCTAAGGGTACAGTATTAAATGTTCATCAATTAGAGACAGTGGAAAGATTCCCGCCTAAGCCTCGTCACCACAGACTCAAGGTTTGCAATCAGGTCTGATCTGCATTTCAAATTTCGCGAAGAACGCGGTCGAGTTTTCTCTTAAACATATTATCGTTCACCTCATCCACCACAAGGGAATTCTACAAGTTGGTTACCCTACACGACAGTCGGCACCTGAATGATATTCCGATTGATGGAAGCTTCAACCACGTGAGCTTATATCCACAAGTCCTGCTCTGCTCGCACAGAGTACCAGATTAGTGAAAAGTAAGAAAACAACATATAATCAATATAAGGAAGGGAAATAAATGTCCTTTTTACGTGAATTTATTTTGTGGATTTGACTTTTATCAGACACATACTCTTTTTCCACGTGATTCATGAAACTGTTCAGACGAGAGTAAGTATGTGAAAACCAAATGTTATCCAAACCACAATCAATTCTTAAGAATGCTATACTAAAAATATATTTAATTAAGAATCGGCGCTTTTATCCATGAACTTCTTGGGCTTTTTACTCTTTTTTTCTTACTATAGCAATGGTGTACGGCTTGAGTTTGGTGGATAACATAAAGTTCTCGCTATTGTTTAACGTTTCTGAGAGCTTTTAGCTTCTATTTTAGGTAACTGAACAAAATATAATAGAAAAGACCCAGCAGACCGGTCACAACAACCTCACCCATCTGACGATATCTTTGTACAACAAATGATTCTCTCTTTGCTGCTAATCGGTAATCACATGTACTGTGGAATAACACAGAAATTTCCTTGGGATTAACCATTCTTAAGCTCCTACATTGATATAAGATCATAAGATGGCAACGGAAGTCATTCGCTTGGCTCAAGATTCTACAGAATGTTGGACTAGTTGACCCAACGCAGTCAAGTTGCAATGTTCTATAGACATCGGCAAAGCAAATCTCTGATTACGATTATTATTCAGTAATGAAAAGAGGAGAGTGAGAATGGAGGCAGGTAATTAACAGTTAATGGTACATGACTGGCACTAAGCAGAAACTAACAAAAATATGACGGAAAGTGCAACCAATTGTTCCGATACGGCAGCTGCAGACAGTAACATAAATTAATGGTAAACGTAATGAATAAAGAAGAGCAAACAAAAGGCTTACAGAGTACAGAGAACGGTGGTAAGTCACGCATGAGTTCAAACTTTGAAAATGAGCGGCTAGCGTCATTCGGGGAAGATCACGGAGGAGCAGAGGGCATACGGGGTTTCTGGTGACCATATGATCGACCACTCGGGTACTAGAGGCTAAATGCGATATGTCTAGACATCAACTCACACAAAAGCAGCACGCGATTCAACAAAGCGTTTATCGACCTCATGGATGGCATAGACTAAACGCACAAATGGGTGGAGTTAGGAAAGTTTACGTGAAATTATATGAGAAAGTAGAGACGATTAGAACAGACATGATAACCAGATGTGTAAGTGTAAAGATGGTTATATTATGTAGGGAAGGCGATCCGACTGACAACTGGTATTATTGCAATTATAATTTGATAACAAGAGGGAATTACTGTCAGGTTTTACAATACCACTGCAAAAGAGGGTTACAGTGCTGAACCATACAATTAAACTGTCTACGTAACACAAAAATTTAGCCATTACTTGAACTAACACAACTACAAAGCAATTTCCAGCGGTATGGGTTCACCAACAAGAGTATCTAAAAACAAAACAATACTAGAGCGAGCTCTACACTTATAAATGATTATCCATCAATTTGCTTTTTGTCGACGACAGTGTTAGCTTACTCTTCGAAAGGAAACTCTCAAAAGCGATAAAAGCCAGATGCTACAAAGGTAAATTCAAAATACCCCACGCATCCCATTCTTTCATTGCTCAGAGACGTAAAGATTGACTTCCGCTGACAGCCTTTTCTATTTGTGTTAATCATTTCACCCGCTTCTGAAGAACCGGTTACATTGGTAGTGCACGGCGTCAGTTTAACAAATAGATTCAAGAACACAATCTGGGTTGGCTGAGAAAAAGACTGAAAAAATCATGCGCAACTCAATTGCAGAGCAGCGTCCATGGCTTTTAATAGATTCTTTAAAAAGCAATAATCTGAGTTTCGCAAACAGTGATGCTCATGCATCTACTCATAACCATTGCAACAGCAGTCTATATGAAGTCTCTATCTTTTGCTTGAATTTTCTCTCAACATGCCAGTTTTCATTCTGCTCTTTTATCTAAATTGGCGGCCAAAACCGGTGCACGAAACTGCATGGTTAATGGTTGTAAAAAGTGAACTGGACAAAACATCGATGAACCTGTCTAATAAACTAAAACCAGTTATTATAAACGCCCAAAAAGTGTAGGATCCACAACAAAGAACGGTACACGCAACAGCCGATAACCCAGATCCTGAGATTACCATAACCAGACTATATGACGTAATCTACTGTTGTTTAGAAAACCAATCAATGACTGAATGATGGTGTTATAAAACCAATTTAATTAGGTGACCACAATTCCCTAACTGACTTCTCATTCCAGTATTTTTTTGAGAAACCCCACTTTTGTTACCACCCTGTTATCGTATATTGATGCAGAAGTTTGAAAATAGACAATTTAAGAGAATTGATCGCTTCAATTGTCCCTAAGTTGATCAATGGGAATCTCGTAACACATATTCCTCATCACAAGGAAATAATCTCAATGGTTTCGTGTTAAGGACCTTTCATGAAAAGAATTGAAATCTGTAAGAAATATTTTCAGATGCTTCTGTTCGTTGGCTTTATGAAGGTTTCGAGACCAGCTCTTTTGAGATTTCATCGTGCATAGATTTCGTTTTTTCGGTAAAAATGTATGGTCGCTTTTGGGGTGTTGTCCTTTTCGAGGAGAAAAACTATAATCATTTGCTCACACTATAACAAAATTGTCTAAAAGAAGGTAAGAATTGATGATTACAGAGCAGGATTCTAGCATCCTTTTGGGGAAACATAAAAACAAGAAGAATCAGTAGAATATAAGAAATAATTGAATCCCTTAGTAAACTGCGCTGTACTTTTTAATACGAAGAATTGGCTTAGATAATTACATCTAACGTACACTTGCCAGAACAATTTTTTTTCCTGCGCTTTGTGATCCACTAAAAAACAATCATGTCAACCGTATAAATAAACGCTTGTATTTGGAAACCGATATTAACTGTATCGGACAATTGTAAATTAAATGAAAGGCTTATGTGTAAGTTCATGAGACCAACTGACAGAAATTCGATAGGCCAACAAATGTAGAAACTCCTTAAGGTATCTCCTTAAGGACCTCTGATATACTACTGGTCTATTTTGACATTTACAGAAAAACGTATGCTGCTAGGGGAAAATTTTGTATTCAACAATGAAATGAGTTATTAAGTTGATTTGTATGATAATTTTCCAAAAACTAAAGATTTCCTTCATTTACCAAGTTTCCTGATAATATTTTCAAAATCCACAACAATACAAGGGAAGGAAATTTTACACTACATCTCGTTATTCAGGATTCACTTTGTGATGAACTGCGTCTACAGAACGGAGTTCTGCTGAACAAGCTTCGAAAGATGAAATCTGACCTCAGATTGAAAGCTTCAGAAACGGAAGAAATCAGCAAATCTGACTACGATAAATATGTACTATTGAATAAGGAAGTGGCAGAACGTCTAAAGGAAAAACTGTATGGCATCACAATAGCCAAACTGAAGCTGGCCAGCCAACTGCGGGATTTGAACGTGATACGAGTTCGTATAGTGTACACCCTAGACAAGTAATGAATCCATGTTCTAGGGTGAAACAAATATGTTCATACGGAACGTACCAAAGCTACGGCGACAAACCAGATGCAAAATGATGCTGGTTGAAAAAACGGCTGGGAATATAGATCGGATGATTGAGGTGAGAGTTTCACATTCTTTTGTCGTGCTTTCAAATAACCTGTTCTCTTGTATTTTCCCATGTTTAACTGTTTCACCCCCTTTTCACTATGTTCTGTTGGTGATGTATTTGGTGTCAGACACACAGTGTTCCATAACAAGGGCCGTGTGTTCGAATCCTTTGCGTTTGCTGTTGCATGACGTACTTTGCGCTGACCTGGTACTGGATCAAATTTCGAAATGCTCAACCATTCAGTCACGTAATTCTCGTTCCATTCCATCTGTACATTTGACTCGATACCTCAGTGGGAAGGAAATATGTTGTGAAGGGTGGTTGATATTTCATTGGTGCTATACTGTAAAAGTGGGGAGGCAAAAGGAAGCCATGATCAATAAGGCCAATGACTATTCACCACTCCCGGGGCAGCTTAATGCGTGGTTCGGCCAAAGCAGCACACTACCCGAGAACTATGTTTGTGAAATTAATTACGAGACTGCCACCATCCACATTGATTGATTTGACTGACTATCCTTCGGATTTCACCTTCACGCACAATCCTCAGTTCATCGATTCAACCATACAGTCGGAAGCACTAGACTCGAGTTTCGCTCTTATGAGAGTTCATCAGTAGTGCATATCCATCGTACTGTCCGGGATTTGATATCGATCATCCCACTCACACTACTCACAACTAACTGTGAGTTAAATACGAAAATCAATCAAGCCTTGTAGGTATGTGGTCGGTGGCCCGTAACCTGCATGGAAGTCCTAACTTGGTGGGTCTTTCGATTGGAGTTAAAAGGTTGTACCTGTGTCTCCGTAGCTGTCGGGCAAATGAACTAACTGACTTTCATTGAAGACAACA